GTCTGGCTGGCCGAACTAGCCATATTTAAGAGCACAAAATTTGACTTAAAAAACACTTTCAGGGCTAATAAAAACAGATAATAATACTTTCTTACCTTTTTAATTTTGATTTTCGACCGTAAACGTTGAATTCAGGTGTCCAAAACCGGTAAAAATGAAGTTTTTATGCGCGCGATGCCAATTTCACAATACATTTTCCATTCGTTCTGGCTGCACTTTACTGGCCAGAGTATTAAACCGGAAGTCGCACCTGTCGGAGGCATCAAAAACTTCAAAGGAGTGAGCCATCTATTCATTTCTTAATCTATGCCAACACACTTTATGATTAGTGTAGATTATTATTAAAATCTCTAACAATATAGATTTTATAACTTTTAAAATAAGACTTTGACTCTTAAAGAAATTTTAGTTAGTAAAGTAGTTAAGTTGTAATTTTTTTGTAAAAGTTGCGCAATTCAGTGTAAAACTGCAAGGTAACTGATTAAATAATCTATCTAATCAATCTTTTTTTTAAAACAAATAGAATATCAAAATTTTAAAAAAATCTGTAGATTGAAAAACTCTAAATCCGCAATTTTTTATTCTGGCTATTCTAATCTACAGATTTTTTTTATTTTCAAGCATAAGATTTCGCATTACTAGTAAAAGCTATACAGCAGTTAAAAATTGGGGGTCACCGGCAATATTCGGAAAATAAAGAATAAAAACCTGCTTAAAATAGGAAAAAATACCATATTTGGCGAGACTACTGTTACCATGGAAACAATATTATGTTCAAGAATAGTGCAAACCTTTCCTACCAAAAACTTAATTTATACTCGGGAATGCTTAAAATTAATAGGTGCAGTGATAAAAATTATAAATTGACATTTTTACGCAATAAGGGATTTATACGGCATGGAACTGTATGGAGCCACCTTAAATGCGATTTCAAGCGTTTTGGCTGTGAGATTTACCAGAATTCCAAAGATTATAAAGTACATCAAGCACATGCTTTTTTATGATCTCACAAACGTGCCATCTCCCAGCCCGGAATTAGATTTACTAACGGAGGGTCATATTACGAAACACATCATGTATAGTTTCAACTTTCAATAGCCTTTGAGTTTGGCTCATGATTGATGAAATCCTTCGCAAATTGAAGTGATATGATACCAGTGACCGATCCAATATAACTCGCTGTTTGTGAATCAAAATTCTCAAGCAAAATAAAGAGTAATATTTCAATTATACTTTGTAAAATGCATTTTTTATTCAATGAATTACAATATGCTATAAATATCACTTGTATATTATAACGATATTCATCGCAAATCTTTCATGCAATGCAAATCATCCAAATGATATTGTTTTAACACTCTAATGGCAATGCTCTATTCTGGCCCTTTTTATAATGGGCAATGCATTTATAAATTACAAATACAGCAAGAAAGCTATTTGGCCCAAAAATCGCATTGTAAGTTGCAAGTCGATTGCGTGTAAAAATGTATTAAAGCCTGTTATATTTCAACTTCGCATTTTAATATCATACAAGATACATTGCAGCATATTAATTTCTGTTTCATAATTTTGGATATTTTCATACATTATAGCAGAAAGACTGCTTTGCATGAATTTCGCAATTTTCATGGACTGATATCCCCAGCCGCGAAACAGTCCAAAAAAATGAACCAATAGGAATTGTCAATAATTTCAAATTGACCAATCAAAATGAAAGAAATGGACCGATAAAAACTCATTTAAATTGCAAATCAGTCGGACCACCCCATAAAAACTCCCTTAAGTTGCAAATCAGTCCGACCACCCCACAATAATTTCAAATTGACCAATCAAAGGAAAGAAGTGGACTGATAAAGACTCCCTTAAAGTGCAAATCAGTCCGGCCACCCCACAGATCAGTCGAGATAAGTCCAAATGACCTCTCGACTAATCAAATGAGCATAACGACCACCCGATTCTGCGAGATTCTTGCGTTTTACCGCTGCTCTAGATAAAGCATATATTTATTCAAAACTGAGCTCGTAAAGACGTATACTGGACTATGATATAAATTTAATATTATATTCGGGAATTAATTGTTCAAATTTTGAAATAATAAATTAATTATTTCTTTGCAAAAAATACGTCAATCACGCGACTGATTGGACTTACCCTAGATCCGCCCCTGCTGAGTATCTGAATACCCCGTCTAGACCAGGACTAGTATCTGGATATACCCCGTCTAGACCAGGACTTTAATTGCTTCAAGTGGGAACGGCTTTGAACTAAAGGGAAATTGAGGGGTGAACAAAAGATTATGCAAATAGATTTAATTGCTATGTTTAGAATTATTTCTAAATACAGAAAAAATAACTTCTAAATACAAAAACATTCGATCACACTTCAAACAACAAAATATGTTCATGTTATAAGTTACACACTTCACATAATTATATATAACGATTTCTGAATGTTGCTTTTTAAATCACACTTGCCGTCAATAAACACAAATCTTTCTCCAAATCTTTCTTGCAAATTATGCAAATCTAAGCAGAAAGGATTGCTCTCACACATGACATTTTCTCGCCAATCTTCAATATACAAGCTCCCCAACAATTTTTATAACGCGTTGTTTGTGGAGTAGCATTTCGGACGCTGTCAATGGTTCTTTCCACAATTGCAATGTGAGCAGTTTCGCGGGTGAGTTCGGACAAAAATCAGGTGAGCTTCTAAACCAATCAGAATGCTGCTTTTAACACAGGTATGGGATAATATTTTTAATTTTCTTTGTCCTTTGATAAAATAAGAACTTTGGAATTGTAAGGGGGGTCTACACGAATCGAAAATTTTATTAATTAACATGTTTATAAATTATAGGTTCTTATATGCGGGGTTTTACTGCATGCAAGATATATTTTAGTTGGGTTTTAATGTTGTGCAACGATTTAAGACTATTCTCTATTTACATGAATGGGCGTGGGCTACCTGGATTCAGGGATGGAGGATTATTTTGGCTGTCTCGGTGGTTTTAATTTCAGCTTGATGTAAATAATGAATGGTCCTGTTTGAAATTTGTGCAATTATCACCAGATTTTGATCTCTTAAATCTATTTTCCCTTAAGTTTGTATGTATATATGAATGTATGTTGAAAGTTGGTGTTTCATCATTAGTTTGATGATTGGATACATCTTGATGGCTGATGGCACGGCACGATTTTTTAGTTTTCAAAAGCCAATCAATTTTCCCCTGGTATATTCGCTTTAAAAACGTTAAAACCTAATAACATCTTGACTTATTTGGTCCACCGTTTCTTTTGCACACAGTTTTATTTGCTCAAACAGCATTGCCGAACGAGTTCAGTAGTGTACGTCCCTTTAACAAGCTCATTAACGAGTTTCCCAAGAACTGCATGAATATGATTGTTTTGTTTTCGAGTAAGCACTAAGGCACAGAATCGAAAATTTATAACTATATCGTATAAGCACAAAGATGAGCGCGTTTAATTTATAGCGCGTGGACTTGTATATAACTGAGTGTGGACATTGGACAGTGGACTTTTCTAACGTGGAGTTTTCTGTACTAATTGTGGACATTGTGGACTTGTTAAGTAAATGTGGACAGTGTGTCCTGTGAACTTGAGGATCTCAAAATTTCCTCTTTTTGCAACCATAGTTAAAATTAGATGGTTTGGAAACTCATTAAAATAACAATATAACTCATTATCTATGTTAGTCAACGTTTATTCATAAATCTGATCGTTCACCGTCACGTACGTATTGTATTTTGGCCCAACTAACCAATAGCAATGTTTTAGAAAAGTTGCCTATCCGTGATTCGAACAATAGGGTAAATTGAAAATTGCTATTGGTGGATTTGGCAAAAATACAATACGCACGTGCATGACGGTGAACGACCAGATTTATGAATAAACGTTGACTAACATAGATAATGAGTTATGAGTTGTTATTCTATAATGAATTTCCAAACCATCTATTCTATTAACTATGTTGCAACTAGATGTCATGCTTCATTCGAAGGCGAACAGATACTAACATGCAGCACTGGTCTGAACAACAACTTAATTCCCTATTGTTACTTTCTCAATGCTTTGAATATCTAATGATGTGTGATAAGCCATTTCAAATCCTTGTTGGTGTTTTAGACTTAGCTTCCAAATTGAAATATTACTTATTAACATATTTGCTTTGCTATATTAATTATTAAACCCTTTTATTAAAAGTATTTTAGTCAAATATTTAAAACGGCTATCTAGCTACTGGGCTGCCTATCAGTAAATTATCTGTTCTATCCATCTTGTATTATAATTTCCAGTGTTTCCGAAAAAATCAAAATGGTTATACATTTGCGATAATAGATAACAAACGGTCAAAACGGTGCCATATAGAAAAAAGTGTTATAGCTGGTTTTATCTTCTAAATGAGTTAGGTCAACGCATTTTTTTCTCATTTTATTGCTCAACATTGCAGAGCGGTTGCAATCACATCTTGCAGTCTTGCATGGCTGCGATTGAAATGATTTAAAAAGCACGTATATTTGCATGAACAGAGTGTAACGATTTTAGAATGAATTTCACATATATAATTGAATACAAAACTGTTCTTTTATAGAATTTTACAGAAACCTTTCTTAGAGTCACGCCATGTTCGATAATCTACGCATGCGCCAACAAATATCAACTACGCATGCTGTAATGAACTTTGATTTACTTTAATTTGAACCTTATTTACATATTTACAATGATTGATACTTCGATAAACCCTATATAATCGTATTCGTTCGTTCGACTTTCTCGTTTCGATAACAACAACATTACTCGTGTTCGTCACGGGATTTTATCCAACTAAATTCAACCAATAACTATAGCATGCAAACCTATTACCTAGTATAATATTCCACATATATTTAACCTAACGTCTTTTCAGATGAAATTGCATCTTGTGCGTCGCTCTTCTTCGAGACATACAGAGGCCCTAAGAAGTCCAGACCAGTGTGCGCAAATGGCGGTGCTGCATCCACTCTAAAGCTCGGCAAATCTGGTTGTACTTATAATGTCGACCTTCGTTTCTTTTGCAGACTACACATCTTCGAACGTTCTTCTTGACGATCTTCTGTCCACGAATGATCCAAAATTGCTCACGCAACGATGAAAGAGTTTGATTTATGCCGCTGTGACTTGTTCGATGATGGACTTCTTGTATGACTAAATTGGTAAGGTGGTGGTTCTTCGGCAGCAAAACAGGCATTTGCTCGAGTTTGGGAGATGGGCATTCTTTATTCGTCCAGCACATCTAATCAACGATTGCTCATCAACATATAATCCAAACTGTGCAAAATAAGTCGGAGGTGTCGAAACTTTGTTACTCGACAAAAACTTAAGTTCTTCCACAAATGAGTTTCTTTGAACTGCTTGGATCCACAATTCTTCTGCTTGTCTCAGTTCGAGTGTTGATAGTTCGGGCGATCTAGCCCTTTCACTGTCTCTGCGTTTTCTCTTTCGATAACTTCTTCTCTTTGAATTTTCACTTTGCGTAAAAACTTAACGAATCGTAATACGTAGGCAGTTGTTCTCAATAATCTCTTTTTAGTACTGAAGCGTTGACAGTCAATAACAGTACTGATGTCTGAATTTAACGGCTTCGCTTGGTTGGCTAAACTATGAATGACAGCAGTTTTGTGTTTCGTAACTTCTGCGATTGCAATCGGATCCGTGCTCTCACAAACCAAGTCATTTGGCCATTCTTCTTCAGGACGTTGCAGAAATTCAGTCCCTTTCCACCAGGCTTCGTTCGACTTCAGATCTGTCCATGTAGTCCCTCGAAATGGCAAATCGGCCGGATTCTTTGACCCAGGACAAAATCGCCAGGCGTCTTTAGACGAAGACCTTCTAATCTCTTGCACTCGGTATTGGACGAATTGTTTCCAGGGTTTATTGTTCTTTATCCAACAAAGAACTGCAGAGGAGTCAACCCAATAGAATTTCTCTAGATTACCTAAAGTAGGCATGAGAGAGGATGAAATGTTTTCAACGAGGCAAGCTAAAATTGTAGCCCCAAAAGTTCTAGGCGAGGTATTGTTTGTTGTTTGATGGGGGCAACTCTGCTCTTTGAGGCGACTAGGTTTACATCTACGTGTTCATCATCGTACTTCGTTCGTAAATACACAACAGCGGCGTAGCCTTTCTCACTTGCATCTTAAAATCCATGCATTTGATAATCTCTGATATTGGAAATTCGAGAAAAATAGCATCTTGGAACAGAAACACCACTGAGTTGGGTTAATTCATTCACAAGTGTATCGTTGACGGGTAGGGGTAAAACGCGGAAAGGGAACGGAACGGACCGGCGGAACCGGAAAAACGGAAACGGAAAAGAGGGTAAAACGCGGAAAAGGGGTAAAACGCGGAAAAGGGGTAAAACGCGGAAAAGGGGGTAAAACGCGGAAAAAGGCCTATGTAGTTCAGTTTATCAATCAGAGACCCATGTAATAGAAAATCCCACACATGAAATCTCCACAAGAATTACTAGACGTAAGAGACGCCCGTATCAGAATCCAGGTAGAGCAGTCAACTATCATGCTCCGAAAAATTTGAAAAAGATAAAAATGCCCAAAAGGTATGATATTCCCACCATTCTATCTGCGAATGTGAGGTCGCTGCCAAAGAAAGTAGATGAGATTGAACAAATAGCTCTGCTGAATTCTGTTGGTGCTATTTGTATAACCGAAACTTAGTTATCGCCAGAAATTCCTGACTCATCCATTTCTATTCCTGGTTATAATTTATTCCACAGGGACCGAATTGAAACGTCTGGTGGTGGTGTGTGTGTGTACGTAGACCAAAATATACCATGCAAACTTTTGGAATTCAGTGATCAAACGGAGCTCGAATCAATATGGATATCAATGAGACCACATAGTTTACAAAGAGAAGTTACATCAATCGTAGTAGGCGTGGTCTATCATTCGACGAGTAATGGGAAACCTGAGAACATTATTTTACGTGATCATATTCAAAAAAATCTTGATGCTGCGTTACTTAAACAGCCAAATGCATTAATTATTCTAACAGGCGATTTTAATCCAACATCGACTGGTTTTAATCAAAAATATATAACCCAAGTGAATAGCCTTAAACAGTTGGTTACCTTTAAAACAAGAGATTCTGGTATTTTAGACTGGCTGTTTACGAACAAACCTAAACTGTTCTCTTTAACCCAGCTACCTAAGATTGCATCATCTGACCATTATTCAATTCTGGCAAAGCCTATACTTGGAAGTGAAACTAAACTAATAAGTAAATCTAAAATACGCGATGTGAGGGATAGTGCGTGGTGTGCGCTTGGTCGATGGATTACTCAAAAAAATTGGTCCTCTGTCCTCGAAGCTAATATGTGTAAAGATAAATTTGATCTTTTTAACTCAGATCTTAACCAGGCTATTGATAGATTCCTTCCAAAAAAAGAGGTTAAAAAGCACCCAACAGATCGACCATGGATCACTACTAAGATAAAAAAAGGGATTCAAAAACGCCAATCAGTTTTTATCCAGCAAGGGAAAATGTCAACAGCATACCGATATTGGAGAAACAAAGTCCAACGTTCCATTCGTGCAGCAAAATACCAATATTATAGCGTTAAAGTTACTGATGTACAAATAGTTAATTCCATAAAATGGTGGAGAGAAATTAAAAAACTCTCTGGGCAAAGTTCAAAACTGGAATGGCACCGTCAGTTTCTAGAAAATAGCTCTGACACTAAGTTACTAGCTAATAGGATTAACAACTTCTTTACTGGCCTTACTGATAATTTTGAGCCCTTAATCCCACGCATTGTATGCATTGTATGCATTGGAGCATTATCATTGCTCCAAGTAAATAAATCAGTCGGTCCTGATTACATCCCAAATAGAGTCCTGAAGGAATTCGCGCATGAGTTGGCACCTATCATCAAAGATATTTATAACCAATCAATGAAAGAGAGATATATTCTTGAACTCCTCAAATCATCAATTGTTATTCCAGTATCGAAGATCAACCCCCATAGAACCATAGAAAATGACCTCCGACCTATCTCGTTGACATGTACCATAGCAAAGGTCATGGAAGGTTTTACATGCACAAGACTCCTACCTCAGTTAGAAGATAAGCTGGATCCGCGCCAATATGCTCGTAAAAATCATTCAACAACAGATGCTCTACTACATACATTGCAAGCAATCTACGAAGCAGTTGATACTGGTGAGGTCGGAGCACGCTTATTCTTTGCTGATTTTTCTAAAGGGTTCGACCTTATTGATCATGCCATCCTTCTACACGAACTAGAGAACATACAAGTTCATCTTGCACTTTTGAATTGGATCGCAGCCTTTCTAACCAACCGTATGCAGGCTGTTAAAATTGATGGAGTTCTATCAGACTGGAAATCAGTGAAGGGTGGGGTTCCTCAAGGAACTAAACTAGGCGTAATTCTCTTTATTGTCATGACAAACAAATTGCTCTGGGAATGGAATCTTCGGACTAAATTTGTCGATGACACATCCGTACTGGAGATTATTCCAAGAAATTCCATTAGCGTCCTAAACAATGCTGCTGCTGACATACATAATTTTGCCATAGAGCATAATATGAAGCTAAATCCTACCAAATGCAAAGAAATGCTTATTAACTTCCTACGCAATCCAAACTTTCTGATTAAACCTATACAAATAGGTAACTACGTTATAGAACAAGTGAAGACTTATAAGATCCTAGGTGTGATCATGTGTAGTGATCTAAAGTGGAACTGTCATGTCGACCACATTATCAAGAAAGCCAGTAAGAAACTATATTCGCTAAGGGTACTGCGTAGAGCTGGAGTCGGAAATGATAATATCTTAAAAGTTTATTTAACTACAGTACTACCAGTGATGGAATACGCCGTACCGTTATGACAAGCAATCGAAGTCGTGCAAAAGAGATCACTTAAAATATCTATTCTGAGTGTGATTTGTACACAGACGCACTAAATCTAGCCGACATTCCTACACTCAAGAGTAGAAGAGATCTATTGTGTGAGAAATATATGGACAAAATGAAATCTAAAGACCATCCCCTACATAATCTACTTCCAAAACGGTCGTCTTTGAGAATCAGCGTAAACTGAGAAGGAAATCAGAACAATTTTACCTATTTAAAAATAATACGGTCTGTAAAACGAGCAGAGCACAATCGTTTTTTACTTTTAAATTGAATATTAATACTGTTTAATTGAATAATTAGGAATATGCTGTAAATATTAGGAATAAATAATAATACTCTAAATTTGAACATCTTAATATGAACATTACCTTAGAAATATTATGTAAATTTTACTAGTAAGCTCGTTAATTCAATTGTATAACTGCAAGAGAGTTTTAATAAACATCAATCAATCAATCAATCAATCAATAAATCAATCAAAAGGGGGCAAAACGCGGAAACGGGGGTAAAACGCGGAAAAGGGTGTAAAACGCGGAAAAGAGGGTAAAACGCGGAAAAGGGTGTAAACGCGGAAAAGAGGGTAAAACGCGGAAAAGAGAGTAAAACGCGGAAAAGAGGGTAAAACGCGGAAAAGGGGTAAAACGCGGAAAAGAGGGTAAAACGCGGAAAACAAACTTTGAAACCAATTAAATACCATAATAAAACGAAGTAAATGTACCTTATTACAACAGGTGGGAAATTTGTCGTCGCTGACCAAAAAATTGCGGGCAGAAACAAAGCTCATTGCATTTACATTCAAAACAAAGCAGAAAGTTAGCGAGAAGCTGTTTTAGCTGACGATTTTTTGCTTTCCATTCAACGATTTGCAAATTATTGGTTATTCTTTTAAAAGTCGATCATAAATTCTTTGTTTTGGGATGATTGCTTTGTAATCGTGTGACGGGAGTAAATACCGTATACGTCGATCTATGGCTTGTTTAAAACCGTAATAAACGAAGAAAGACGTGATTTGAGAATGAAATGTAAGTTGAAATTAACTTTATATGCCTCAAACTTTCCATCCTATGTTTCATAATGTAACTTCAGCTGGCAAGTTCAAAATACAAGCTCGCGAAATTTGACAAATTTTGAAAATATGTAAAAATAGCTTGACTTTGAACTGTAGTTTCTCAAAAATAACTCGTGGCCTCAATTTCAAATATAGCTAAATGCATGAAAAGAAAAAACGTTTCGGCGTTTGTAGGTATCAAACATATCGTCAGGAAAATAGGGGCTCACAATGTTTTAGTTCAGTCTTTGAGACCCAGTTGCTTCGCACGTGTTGTGGTCAAATTTTTGCCAAGAATCAAAGGCTGAAATGTGAACTTCCTTCATGAAAACCGCTTCGAGAAGGGTCTAGTTTGAAAATCTACCTATTAATTTCGATTTCGTGAGCATATTTTGGTTACACGTTAAGTATTTTTGTGCTTGATGAGATTCAAAATTTGTTGTATATTCAAGCCCGGCTTTTGTATAATTTTGGTGATGACCGGAACAGAAATTAAGATATTTTAAAAACTGGCCGTGGCCTCACGATAAAACTTTCTACAAATGTTCTCTGTTTTTGATATCTTAGGTATAAGCGTAAAAATAGGGGCTCATACAGTTTAAGAGGTTGTAAAATGCATGACTTGCCTCTATTTTCATGTAAACATTCGAAATTCTTAAATATCCCCCCCAGTCCCCCCTTGTGCCCCCCACGAAATCACATTTTGCCCCCCCAGGAAAAGTCCCTTTTTCCTAAAATTATATAAACAATCCAGCGAAGATTAACAAATAGATAAACGGAAAGTAAGTTTTAGGCTTTATCCTTTGTTCTTGTTTAACAAAATCGATTTAAATTGTTACTTTTTTTACCACTAAGCCATGATAAATTATTGTTAATATTTTTTTTTTTTTGGATGCTCAGAATGCAAAAAATAGCATTTCACGGTTTCAAATTTCAAAAATTTTCTTGGGATTATCCCTCTAATAAGTAATGATAAATTACAGTTAATATTCTTTTTTACTTTTTGTGCATTTTCCCATCTTTTATTTCAAATACAAGTATACTTAGCATAAATTTTAGAGCAAATTTGGATCCTCAGAATGCAGGAAATGGCATTTCCGTGGTTCAAATTTCAAAAATTTTCTGGGGGAGTACACCCCCACACACATGACCATTGCTATCCTCTAATAAGTAATGATAAATGATGGTTAATTTTTTTTACTTTTTGTGTGTTTCTTCCTTTATTTATTTCAAATACAAGTATAGTTAGGATAAATTTTGGAGCAAATTTGGATGCTCAGAATGCAGGAAATGACATTTACGGGAGTCAAATTTCAAACATTTTCTGGGGGAGTACAACCCAGACCCCCCATCTATGCGTGGTATATTTTCCACACATGTGGCTTTCAGCCATTGCTACCCCCCTCTAATATATTATCTCACAGAAAGGTCCCTTTTCAAAAAATGCCCCCCCACAGGAAAATCCTTAAAAAAGGCCCTGTGTCTCGGCAGGGTACTGAAATAGAACGTCACTAAAAAATTCTGTATGATTAATTTAGATCATGTCTACTCTTTCAACATAAAACAGTCATTTATTTTGTACAAACATTTGGCCATATTTACACGATTGTGCCTTTTTGTAAACACGCGTTGCGTGTATTCCACGCAACTGCGTCGCTCATTTTACTCGCGCATGCTCAGACAAATTTCCCACCTGTTCCTCATTACTGTACTTGAGTTCTATTTTTGAGAAGTCGGCATGTGACAAAGTAAACTTTCTTTGGAGTACTTTTACTTGGAACGAAGTCGTTTAAAGAAGTAACGTTTTACTTCGTTATTTTCATTATCTTGCGAAGTATTTTGTTACTTTCTAACTTTTGTTTAATTTTACGTGATGTATTCAGGATTTATTTTAATTTTGGGATAGGTAATAGGACCTCTACATGCGTCTGGATGGATTTCTTGTATCTTCAACGGGATCTAGAGAGTAGACCATGCCATGAAATATTGTATATTAGGTGCACGCATATAATGCGTGTGTTGTTTTGTATGTCAATCCAATGGAGAAGTCCCCCCCCCCCCTTACAAGCCAAAGACAATAGTATTTTTACTTTTACTTCAAGTATTTTTTAAGGATACTTTGTACTTTTACTTAAGTACGTTTTGCTTCCCGTACTTTTTACACTTATTCAAGTCGTTTTATTGTTAATTACTTCTACTTTTACTCGAGTACAAATTCAAAGTAATTTAGGCACCACTGGGTATAGTGGACATACTGCGTTTACTTTTGTAAAGCAAAGATGCTTTTTTCGCCTCAGAAGAAAGACCATTCCACTATACTTAAAACTTCGTTTAAGATAGTTTGTTTTAGGTTTTTGAAGTGCTAGATCAGTATCATTACTTCGAAGATTATATTCTCTATTAAGATCTTTAACTTTTTATAAATTTTTCTCTAAGACTTGGAGTGGACTGTTCATTAAGAATTTTGTACATCAAAACGCTTTTCACCCAATGACGTCTTACATCATATGCCCACCGACTAATAATCATACACCTACTATATAAAGGCCGGCCATCAAAGTTACTGTGATCAAAGTGGCGTCATCCCGCCCAAGCAAACCTGTGACTTAACTACTTTTAAATTTAATCTGTGTTTTTGAAGGGTGGTACTGGTGCAAACTTCGTTAATAAAAGCATACTGCATGCAGTGAGCACAAAAACGTTGATAGTGTAAAGGCCAGACTAAACCGCCCCCCCCCCCCCCCCCCCCGTT